GTTGGAGGTTGCTGTGAGCTGTGATGCCACAGCACTCTGCCCAGGGCAACAGCTTGAGGCTCTGTCTCCAAAAATAAAAAAGTCTACAATCTCAGGACAGAAATATCATAGTCATGGGGGAAAAAACTAGGGGGAGGGATGTGATTTGAGGAACAAATTATGAGAAAAAAAAAGAAGTAGCTTAGGGCACTGCCTGTGGCCCCATATGTGGGAGGTGGTGGGTTCAAACCCAGCCCCGGCCAAAACACCCCCCCAAAAAAAGTTTGGGCCGTGCTTGTGGCTCAGTGGGTAGGGTGCTGGCCCCATATACTGAGGGTGGCGGTTTCGAACCCAGCCCCAGCCAAACTGCAAAATAAAATGGCCAGGCGTTGTGGCAGGCGCCTGTAGTCCCAGCTACTTGGGAGGCTGAGGCAAGAGAATCACCTAGGTTTAGGAGTTGGAGGTTGCTGTGAGCTGTGACACCACAGCACTCTACCAACACGGCACTCTACCAAGGGCAATAAAGTGAGACTCTATCTCTAAAAAAAAAAAAGAAGCCTAGCCTAGGGAAAGGCAGAAAGACCAGCGTGGAAGACTGACTAGCATCCAAAGGTAAGGCAGTTTATTTTAGCCTCATCTCTTTTTTCACTGTGCCTCACCTTGCCTCCACATTAAGCAATTTGCAATTCTCTGACCACTACCAATTATACTGTGCTTCTTGCCTTTGGACACACTCTTCCTCCCTTTTTTCTAAGTGCACAGTTCATGGTGCCTCTTTCTGATGCCTTTCCTAGCCCACCCAGGTGAGAGTAATGACTTAATTCCTCCTTTGGCCTTTACTGAACTCTTTTATCATCGTGCATATTTATAAATTTGCTTATCTCTGACTCAATAGGCTAAAAGCTTTCTGAGGGCAGGAAACATTGGTTCATTTCTAACTAAATATTGCATAAATATGTACAGCTTCTGGCACTCTTTCATAAAGGAAATGTCATATTGTATATACAAGATGGACATAAAGTTTGTGTGCAATTTAAATAGTTTAATATAGTAAACCGCACATGTCCACCCTGTATATGCCATTAAAAAGTGATCAAAAAAAAGCTAGGCACAGTGCCGCATGCCTACAGTTCCAGGAGACTGAAGCAGGAGGATCATTTGAGCCCAGGAATTCAAGGCTGTAGTAATGTACTATAATTGCACCTGTGCCTGGGCAACACAGTGAGACTCT